ACCCCCCTGCAATGAGCAGCGACAACTTCAACAAGATCAGGTTGCTCAGAGCACCATCCAACCTGACCTTGAATGTTTCCAGGGATGGGGCATCTACCACCTCTCTGGGCCACCTCTGCCAGTGTTTCTGCACCCTCATGGTGAAAAATTTCTTCCTTTTATGTAGTCTAAAATCTGCCCTCTTCTAGTTTAAAACCATTACCCCTTGTCCTGTTGCTACAGGCCCTGCTAAAGGGTCTGTCCCCATCTTTCTTATAAGCCCCCTTTAAAGGCTGCAATAAGCCCTCTCCAGGGCCTTCTCTTCTCCAGGCTAAACCACCCCAACTCTCTCAGCCTGTCCTATTTCATTGATTAAGGTATTAAACAGTACTGGTCCCAATAAGGACCCCTGAGGGACACCACTTATCACTAATCTCTGTCTGGACATTGAGCTGTTGACTACTACCTTCTGGATACAACCATCCAACCACTTCCTCATCCACCAAACAGTCCACCCATCAAATCCATTTCTCTCCAATCTAGCAAGAAAGACATGCGGGACCGTATCAAGGGTCTTACAGAAGTCCAGAGAGACGACACTGGTTAGCTCTTCCCTTGTCCACTGCTGTGGTCACTCCATCATAGAAGGCCACTAGGTTGGTCAGGCAAGACTGGCCCTTGGTGAAGCCATGCTGGCCATCTCAAATCACCTCCCTGCCTTCCATGTGCCTTAGCATAGCTTCTAGGAGGATCTGTTCCATGATCTTCCCAGGCACAGAAGTGAGGTTGACAGACCAGTAATTCCCAAGGTCCTCTTCGCTACCCTTTTTAAAAATGGGTGCAATTCCACACCATATGATGTCATGCTCAACATATAAAGTGGGGGGAAGAAGACAATGGAAGGGGGTATGTTCAGAGTTACGGCATTTCGTCTTCCCAAGTAACCATTATGCGTGATGGATCCCTGCTTTCCTGGAGATGGCCAAACACTTGCCTGCCAATGCGAAGTGGTAGATGAATTCCTTGCTTTGCTTGTGTGCAGCTTTTGCTTTCCCTATTAAACTGTCTTTATCTCAACCCATGAGTTTTGTCACTTTTAGTGATTCTCTCCCCTATCCACTGAGGGGGAATGAGTGAGCAGCTGTGTGGTGCTTCATTGCCAGCTGGGGTTAAGCCACAACAATCATCTGTTTACAAAAGATTATGATAAAACAGTGCATATCTCCCACTACAATATCCTAAATTTCTTAGCAAGAGTTTTACTAACATTTCTACCAATGCAAGATTTAAGGTTAATACAACTTTCTAACTTTCTTTCCCCAGTATTTAAGAATTATAGATTAGAATAACCAGGAAATAAGTGATCATACCCAAAAATACAATCCCATAACAAATTACATTTTAGTAGCTAAAAGAATCCCCCTCACACTCACAAAACTTGGGCAGCATAATAGAGTGCTTACTGACTCTGAAGCCAGAGGATCTAATGTAGTTGCATGCTGCCTGACTTCAAGGATTAAGGACCTTGTTTCTGTAACAGATTTGCTGAGAGCATGTCCATTTCTTAACTAAGAAAGTCACACAGGGAGAGGTGACAGTTATTCTATTGATGAACAAAAAGAATGCACAGAAATCTAAAAGCAATGTTCAGTGAAAAAACCCATCTTAATTCAGGTTTTTTTAAACTGGAAAGAACACAGGAGTCTAGACACTGATCTCCTATCTTACCATGAACAGAACATGTCTGCAACTGAAAAGTCAGCTTAAAACAAATACGCTAGGTTAATCCAGCATTAACTGTTTTTTTAATTTAAAATATTTAAATAAAATTTTATTTAAATAAAAAATGATTTAATTTTAATAACTGACCAACCCAGCTAATTTATTATTCTATTTCAGAGCCTTAGTTTTATGGCTGTCAGCCAAAAACTGTCACATTTTCTGTTACCTGGTATAACAAGATATTGCTTCATCTATGAATCTTGTCACTTACTGTTTTCAACGTCCTACTTTGATGATGTGCTTTTACATTATAAATATTTAAGAATAGTTTTGCACAGGACAATTTCAAAATATATGTAATATAGGAATTAATTTTACAGTACAGCATTTATAATAGAACAATTTATTTTTCAGGGAAGCTTAGCAGGAAAAGTATTTCAGTATTGCACTTAAAGACTTACAGGAAAGTGATCTGTTACCTGACATGACAAGAAGCTGTATTTGAAAAAAATAATGGACATCCTTGGCCATATTCAAACAAAAGCATTTAATAGTTTGTTATGATATTACAAAGAATAACATTCAGTTTGAGATTGAGATAATCTCGCTGAGGACTAGATTTTTTTCATCACTTGTCACTTCTTTGCTTTCCCAGAATCTATAAATATATTCCATATGTAATGATTCTCACATTTCAAGCACACAGGTGTATTCAGCAACTATTTGTAGCTAAAAATTATAACCAGTAGGCTTCATGGAAATCTTGATACAGAAGGACCACAGAATATTGCATTTAGTAACCAAGAGCAATGCACAGGTTTTTCCAACTGTGTAACTTCCTTACTGTTCAACTTTTACAAACCTCTATTAAACAAACAAATTTTAATCCTTAAGTGTTTTAACATGTGAATCTCAAAAAACCCCACTGTTCATCCTTTGGCCAAATAAAATATAAGCCAGTAGTAGTCCATGACAAATCAAGGCTGTGGGAGTAAGCCAAGGGACAAAATAATTTACACAGGTACTTAAAGGTGAAGACTTCAGTGAGATACAGAAGTAACACTTACTAATCCAAGTAATTATAATACATACACAGTCCTGCAATTAGTGGTGCCATTTTGTCTATATTCTGAAAAAAAAACCCCACCAAAAAATCCTAGCAGAAGCTATGGGAAAGGAATCAGAGTTGTTTGCAATGAGACATTGTCAATGACAGGCTACACAGTTCAATGAAGCCTACAAAGACAATGCTTCAAAAGCAGCAGCATGACCTTCAGGCAACCTAACTTCCATAGCAAACATCCAAATGAAAAGCTGAAATAAAAACACTTGAATGTTAATGTCTTAAGATGGAGGCATTAAATACTGTAAATTTGGTCAAGATAAATTTAAATTAGGTAACTGTAGAAATTGGTGATGAAAAGGCAAAGGAGATCTTTAAGTACACTAGTCAGTCCTTTTTTAATTCATATCAAAGAACGAATTGTTAAAATAGAGTACTGTCCTGGTTTCAGCCAGGATAGAGCATCTGAAAAACAACTGAAGTTTATTCAGTCATTTTAAAAAGCAAGCTATATGATTAATGAAATGTAAATCTCTGAGTAGGTTTCAGATAACCTAGGATTGAAAGGAAAAAAATCTTTACAATTTTCAATTTCTTCTTTTTGTACTGTAAGCTTTTGGAACCTGTTTCATGGTGTGCACACAGGAGAAATTGAGGGCCATTCCCTTTCAGGACCTACACATGAAGATAACTGAGGGCATAATGCAGGCTGGAGTCAGGCTAAGAGGTTCACCTTTTCCTTTGAACCTATAGCTCAAAAGAGCACTTAACTGTTAGAAATTCACAACCATAAAGCAGCTGAGTGAATGGGCAGCAACAGTTGGGAGTGTTTTTACATTTGCTAAATTTCAATGGTCACAGAGATACTACAGACTCCTGTACTACCAAAGATAATCTCCTTGCCCCCCTGTAGAGAGAGAAATAATTTAAATGATTCTTGTTTTGGCATTTTAAACAGCAGGAAAGAGAAAATAGCTTTGTTCTGGTCTTGCAGTCAATTAACTGAACTGTGTGTGGGTAGAGGTGGCAGGAGAGGGTCTAAAGCAGCATAACTTATGTTAATCGTAACCTGTTTTAAAATCCTTTTTTACTTGTTTGTCAGTCAGCCTTCAAACAGAGAGGTATTAATACTGGCCATGGTAGATGGAGATGTGCTGTTTGTGCAATTCTATGTCTAAAGCTAGATCAGTCTTTCTTCTCTATGTCCAACTATGTCCAAAGTACAGTGTTAGGATCTTCATTACAGCAAAAAAAAAAGTACTGCTATCACCTAAGCTCTTCCCCTACTTACAAGAAAATTACAGTTTGAAATTTCTCACAGATGTTTTTCCTGCAACTTCCTCCCACCACACATTGATGATACTGATTTTTCCTTTTACACTACTGTATTTCATTCACTTTAGTTGACTGTCATTATCCACTGACAAAAACAATTATACTGCAGGATCTGCAAACACAAAGTAGTTCCATAAGCGCATATCCTGATTTCAGCTGGGCTAGAGTTGATTTTCTTCATATAGGTAATGTGAGGCTATGTTTTGGATTTGGGATGAGAAAGTGTTGATAACATGCTGATGTTCTGAGTTGTTGCTAAGTAGTTAAGGACAGTCCAGCTAGCTGGCCTGCTAGAAAGAAGGCTGGGGGTACACGGGAAGCTGGGAGGGGACACAGCCAGGACAGCTGACCCAGGCTGGCCAAAGAGATATTACATAGCATATGACATCATGCTCAATATATAAAGCTGGGATGAAGAAGGAGGAAGGGGTGGAAGGACGTTCGGAGTTATGGCGTCTGACTTCCCAAGAAACCATTACTCGTGATGGAGCCCTGCTTCCCTGGAGATGGCTGAACACCTACCTGCCCATGGGGAGTAGTGAATGAATTCCTTGTTTGCTCTGCTTGCATGCGCAGCTTTTGCTTTCCCTATTAACTGTCTTTATCTCAAACCATGAGTTTTGTCACTTTTACTCTTACAATTCTCTCCCGCATCCAACCATGGGGGAGAGAGCAAGCAGCTGCGTGGTGCTTAGTTGTCGGCTGGGGCTAAACCATGACAGCGCCAATGTAATTTCATCTATCAATTATTGGAGACTGGTTCCATAAGCCTCAGGTCACACAACTTTCCTGATAAAATATATTAAATTTATTACTACTTGTAGTAGTACTTAAAGGCACATTTTGTCATTGAGCTGTGATAGTATTTCATATTTGAAAGAACAGTAGTGGCTTTACTTACCCTGGACTTGAGGGAACCTTCCCAATTTTCATCCACATACCTCTAGGACAGCTCCTGCATAAAGCTGTAATAAACAGAAGCTGTTAATGACATCAAAAATTTAAATTACTGGTTTACTTACTGTGTGTTGTCTGTTGCAACTATTTTTCTTTGAGGAGACTATACACTATTGTGTTGATGGTAACTACAGCCAAGTAAGATCCTAAATAGAATCACAAATCCAGACCTGTCTGATTTATGCAACAACTGACTGTTCATTCAAGACACTTTATAATTTCTATTCATTATATTCAAAATGTAAAAACAGAAAAAGAGATAATTTGAGATATACTGTTGATGAAAGCAAAGCTTCATTTAAAAAAGTACAATCTGACATGTTACAATGGGAATTATGGACTAGTAATAGGAAAATTTTATTTATTCCTCCCCAAAGATGCTAAGAAAGTCTCATTAAGTGAAATTTCCATTTTAAACCAAACTTGGATAGTGAAGCACTGTTTATAATACAGACAAGGCAGTGACTTTAGACTTTTCATTTCCACTAACTATTGCTAGTTTATTGTAGTTAGTTGTGATTGCAGTAAGACGACAGATTCAATGTTCTTAGCAAAGCCTAAGTTCAATTCAATTTTATGTAGTATCTAAATAAAGAAAACTATCTTGTATAGTATCACGTTTTTAAACTTTTTTGGTATTTTTAGCAACACGTAATTGATTCTGTAGTTTGCTGAATCTTAAATAAGTTAACAACATGTTTTTACAGCTAGTAAAATAGAACTTCATAAAGTTACGCATTTTAATCTTACACATAGTTATGAATACTGTATAGCAAATCACATCCTTCTAACCCTGAAAGCCTACCATTTACAGAGAAGCTGACAGAATAAGCTTCAGTTAAAAAAGTTTAATTCAATTCATTACCTTCTATAAACAAGACCTCTGCTTTCGTTTTCTTTTAGACACTGCTTTCATAACAAATGTGAAAGTTAGGACATGGAAAAATATAACCTTACTGAAATGAAGTAAATTCACATTTCACTTAAAATATGAACTGTGTATACATGTAATTAAAAATAGGCTTTCACTATGAAATTTAATAAGTATAACCCCTGTGAAAAAGGAGTGACAAGTCATAAAAGCAAACCACACACAATATAACAGAAGTCTCAAATACAGTTTTATTAACCCTTCATCACTCTTCTGCGTAGATGTTATGGACAGCCAGGAATACAGCTTCCTTTCAGAATATGAATCTTCTGTACTCAAGTTCAACTCAATATTTGCCTAAATACTATGAATTAGAACACAAGAAATAGTCTAATCATTTGCAGGGAAATTAAAACTTCTTTCCTGACATGAACTCATCAGTAATCATTACTTCCACAGGAAACAGAACTCAAGTTGTTACATTGCATTTCTGAGATGCTGTTCTGAACAGATAATTTGCTTAACTACATTTAGATTTTCAACCACACATTAGAGTTAAGGCAAAAACTAAGATCTGACTGTTAAAACCCAAAACAGCTATGAAATAACACTTGAGAGATCAAAACCACCAAATTTTTTAAAAGCTTTTTTCCACCATCCAAATAAAGATTTTTTATTTAAAAAAGGCACTGATAAACACCTTAAATACTAGCTTGCATAATTAAAGTTCCTCTGGACTTAAAACATGAAATAATTACAAAGATGGAGGAAACATGGAATAGTGGGATTATAAACTTCACTTACCTTGTCTCTACTCATTATTCTTTAAAACACATTCAACAATTATATCAGCAATCTTAGATTTAGATATTAGTTTGTACACTCACTAAACATACACTGAACATTTACACTGGTTCTCAGATACTGACAGTTATCTGCATTATTCTATCAAGAAGTTAGTATAAAGTAGACAAAGGAATAAATAGCCTTTTTGTATCTAGTTAATTATTTCATATATGTGTATAAAGAACTACGTACAACCAAGTTGAGGATGATGGTAAAATGAGCATTTTTCAATTCTCATTACTGCAATTAATTATTACAGTTCATTTCTTCCTTTCATATAGGATTTTTATGGAACCAGATTCACTGTAGGAATCTAAAATACATAAGACATCTTGTAATTACAAACTACTCCCAGTTTGTAACTCCTAGTTATTAATGGTTGGACTTGATCTTGAAGGTCCTTTCCAACCTAGTGATTCTGTGATAGAAGTTTAACAAAGGAAACAGCTGAATCGTTGTTGTCTATATTTTGAGCTTATAACTCTGCCATAATTGAAGCCCAACTGTGCTGGTACAAAAAAATTCAGATTCATGCTGGGATAAACAGCCACTCTAGACAGATAGACACAAAAAATAGAAAAATCAGTTGGCTTCATTTATAACTCTAAACAACGGTGTCTTTTGCAAGAAACACAGGTTTATTTGCATCACTTAGGCCACAACAAAAGCATACTTGTTAATATCTACTGCTGCTAGCATCCCATCATATCCAGAGCAGATGTCCTCCAAAATTCCTTGTGAAGGCATTTACTGTGTTCAAGTATTACTAAGAATGACATGTATCACTCAATGTGGAGGCATACAAACATGACGAGTCAGTTCACTACACAATGCTTAACTCATAAGTTAGTTCATTTTAAAATAATGCTTCACTTGTTTTAGTGCTCATGAAAGTGAGTTTAGTACTACAAGCAATGAAATAAAGATTCTTTAAACTGTTACTAGTGTCCATTTTAACATCCAAAACAAGTGCTGTTATAATTGCCAGGCTGATTCATGTCTGCATCTATAAAAATAACTTAGCTTTTTTAAAAACATTCTAACAGTATGCTTTCTAAGGCTATTGTGACAAAATCTGAACTTTTGCCTTATCTTTTACAAAGCATCAACTTGAGTTAAATTTCAGTTAAAAGCTTTTTGTAAGAACCTGAATGTCTTGTAATAGTTCACACTGATGTGATGAAGATGGCTCTTCACAACTGAGAGGAGGAAAACCACACTATCAGTCACATCTGCCTTAACAATGAAAGAAAGTGGTACTTAGAATAAATCACCATTTACATAAGAATAGTTAGATAAAAATATATATTGTAAAAACAACAATTAAAACCAAGGAACCTTAATTTAGGTGAAAGAAAACCTTTCATCTGTTATTAGGAAGGGAACTGAAGCACTTTCTGCAAGACAAAATTCCAGCAGTGCTTCATTTATACATAGATATGGTACTGTTATCACAATTACTCATGGTGAA